AGGGGGTCTGTTACAAAAAAAAAAAAAAAAAAAAAAAAAAAAAAAAAATATATATATATATATATATATATATATATATATATATATATATATATATATATATATATAATAAGATAAGAGCGTCTCGTGACAGTTCAATGCGTCATTGTAAGGTGAACTTCCTTCCAGAAAAGTCACACAAAAAGCAGTTAGATTCTGAATCAACATCATTGAAGAAAAAATCCCCAGATCGAGCGGAAAACATAAATAGGGAATTCGAAGGAGAATGTTTGAAAGCAATAAATCGCAGGCTCTCTACCAATCGTACCATTGCCATACATAGGAGTATTATGGTAAGGAACAAACTTAATAATATATGTATATTGTACATGTAGCATATAGAAGAATGTCACTGCAATGTTAAGTCCTCCTCTTCAAGACGTCATATTTTCTCCTTAAATATTCTTCAGCTAAATTATAAATAAAGGCATTTTTCGTATAATGTAATCGCTCCTTTGGATTTACGTAATTTTCAAAAGCAAAAATACAAGACATACACACGCCTTATAAAATTTATAAGATTAAGTAAATAATCTACTGACAGTAGTTTTGGGTTCCTATCTTTAGTATAAATTTACAGCAATCGACAAGAGTATAAACAAAATCATATTAAATTAGCAACTTGTGTATTATTTGGTGGAGAGATATTTTGATAATCAACTTCAGTTCTTATACTGTATATGCTGTTGAATACATTTTATGCAAGGGAATACGTATTTTGATTGCCTGCTTTGTGTGTGTGTGTGTGTGTGTGTGTGTGTGTGTGTGTGTTCGCAAATGTATGTGTGGATGTGTATGTGTTAGTGTGAGTTTTGCTTGTTGCTTTGCAAAGACATTCGTATATCAATATTTATCAAATTTCCGTTATTTAATCATAGCTCAGGTCCTAGAGACGAGCTGTTATTGAATAGAATACAGGATCAACACTGATGTCAAAGTTAATGTGCAACCTGTCCGCCATATTGGAGACTTCACGTGAGTACAAACTGATATCACTGGTAAATATACACTTTACAGAATGCCCTTTTTTATTTTGGATTCATTGCATATTTGGGTGCATTGCATAATCACGAGCGAACACTGTGATTTTTTTCTGCGTGTCATGATTTTCTTTTCTTACGTATACGTTATCTTACCTCCATTATGGTTTTTACAAAGGAAGTCGTTTATCCAACATAGTTAAATTTTCATGTTTTTTCATTTTAGCGCAAGCGCAATAATTGGCCCTGCTTTATTGAGATTTAGACGAGGGTACTAAACCGAATGCCAGCGCGCCACACAAGCTTAATTTAATGTTCAACTTGTCCACCATCTTGGGGACCTCATGTGAGTACAAACTGATAAGTATATAATACATTGTATACTTATCACTGTTAAGTATACAATTTACAGATAGTACATAGATACGTGATTAATGACACACACAAAGTTCATGTGAGGGCACCAATATTATAAGCGACATTGTCTTTTTAAAAAAGTGTATCCAATCGAAAGGACAGTGATTTCAGTGAAACGATCAAAAATGAGGCCTAACAAATTATTAAAGGCCATATATCTAAGAATCAATGGATTTTCTTTTTTTTGTCATTGATGGGACTTGGTCCCCCAAATTAGACACATTATTTTCCCTCTAAAATATTTGTTGCAATAACATGGTACGGACTAAATGTGATATTTGACAAGTTATGCCAATCTGGATGGGAAAATATTGATAATAATAGAAATGAGATACACTTGTTGTAAATGCAAAGATCCGTCCACCTCTCAGGATGGGAACTGGTGTGTGTGTGTGTGTGTGTGTGTGTGTGTGTGTGTGTGTGTGAGAGAGAGAGTGAGTGAGAGAGAGAGAGAGAGAGAGTGAATGAGTGAGGGGGTGTTGTAATATACTGGAATACTATGTACTGATAGAGGTATCCATCCCTATATAAATATAAATAGCATAAATTATGTATGACTCGGTCGAGTGAGGGCTTTTCACAAATGCCCAAATTTAACAATTGGATTTTGTTTTCGGTATTGCAGAGCCATGGCGTCCTATCCAATAACATTAGAGAACCAGATCAGGATACAAAAAAATTGGGAAGCTATTTGTGATGATCTTGAAGTTAGGGTGATATCCAAAAGACTCATCACAACTGACGTGATAACTACCACACAGTGTAAAGACATCCTGCAGGAACCAACGCGTTTGAAACAAACCCAAAAGTTGTTGAATCTTCTGCTTACTGGAGACAACCAGAAGTTTGACAAACTTGTCTCGTGTCTCCAGGAAGATTACGCGTGGCTCGTGACTGGGCTTCTGAACACATCAGTGACAGAGGAAGACAAACAAACGCGAATAAGTAATTTCAAACTTTATTTAACTCATTGGAAGCATTCCTATTCAGACATTGCAGTTTTTCTCACTAAAGTGCAGCTAACGCAATCAGCTTAAATGTCTGACACTCTTGTTCAAGCAGCTCAAGGGTAAAGGAATGTCAGACAATTAAGCTGATTACACTGATTGCACTTTATCCAGAATCACCGCAGACATAGGTTGACTCGGCTGATATGATGTCTGAATCTGAATGCGGTCACAAAGAATACCGTACACTGTTGAAATCAAATTCCCTACTAGTAGTTTGTTGTGAAATCGAATAACATCTCTGTCAAATTGTTTGCCAGCCTAATAATATGATACAAATATTTTCAATTTGTACAGTGTAATAGACATTATTATTTGGGATAATATTGGTAATTTGAACCTGTCAGCGTTATTTCAGTTACGTAGGAAAAATGTGTCTAAGGCACCGTTGACATGAAAAATCAAAATTCTAAAAATCCAAAAATCCATTTGCGGTATCTAGTGATCACGGTCTGTGCCCTGAATACCCAGCGGCGTAATTAACAAGCTGCACAAGCGAGTCGTTTCCAAAGCTGTTATTAATTCTCGGCCGCGCTTGGAGAAGATTCTGACGCCTGGACGCATGCCCAGTTGTATCTCTAAACTGTGGATTTCATCTGTTTGCATCTGTTTGTCGTGTGTATATGGACCTCATTTTCTTCGTCTTGGTGTTGCAGAAAATCGACAAACACATTTTTTAAAGCAACCGCGATAGTCATTTTCTTTCTCTCAGACCTATTACTGCGCATGCGTCCAGGTATCAGAATTTCCTCCGAGATTTAATTACAGCTTTGGAAGTAATTTGCTCGCTCTGCTAGTTAATTACGTCGCGGGCTTTTCAGGGCACAGACCGTGATAACTAGATACCGCCAATGGATTTTTGGATTTTTAGAATTTGGATTTTTCATGTGAACGTAGCCTAAATGTGTCTATACTGCTTATCTGTGAATATTTCATTATAGGATGAGTCATATTTTCAGGGACCGTTCTGGAAACGTGCTCTATACCACAGCATCCGACGTGCTTTGTGGGGCGCGATGAAGATGTTAGGAAGATAACCGACATATATCTTAAGGACATGCGTCGCCTCGCCGTAATAAAATCTTTTGGAGGCCAAGGTAAGACCACTTTGTCAACTGTAATAGGGCACACCTTTGTGTCAAAGTGGGGAATACGTTCAATCATGGCTGACATGAAGAATGTTTCATTTGCAGATGATATTCCTTTGTCCCTTCTTCTTGCTTTAAAATCATCAGCAGGGTTAAGCAGTGGTGCCACCAACGCTGATCGTCTAATAACCAAGGCCTGTCAAGAGATATCGTCGCACGGCAAAAAGATACTCATCATACTAGACAACTGTGAGAGTGCTCTTGAGGACAATACACAGAAACATTTTTATACCATGCTACAGCGTTTGGTTACTTACTGTAATAACGCCTACATTTTATGTACAACTCGCCGTAAAATTCAGTTACCAAACACAGAGGTACATACTCACGATCTTGATTCTCTGACAGCGGATCAATCGTTCGACGTGTTGCAGTCGTATTCACAAAATCTGTGTCGTGAAGACGGCAAACGCTTGGGTGCAAAATGTGGCTTTGTTGCACTTCTGCTTCATATTCTTGGCTCCTTACTGCACCAAGGTCAGAGAACAATTGATATAATCGAAGAGCTGGACTCAAAAACGGTTTTTGGCCTAAAACTTTCACCCTTAACTCCCGAACACCTAAACGCTGCAGTTTGTATTAACCTGTCTTATAAGCGATTGGGCCTGGAATCGCAAGAATCTGTTCAGATACTGTCTCTTTTTCCAACAAGCTTTAATGCAGATGATGCATTGAAACTCTTGACCAAGCATCAAGTTAGTCTTTCTATGTTTGATTGCAAAACTTGTCTACAAACCCTTTGTGACGCTTCGTTTCTGGGGTATGATGAAGCCAGTGGGACGTATACTATGCATAGTGTTATTCAGGCGTTTGCACAAAAACAAACTTCCGAAGAAAAAAGGGATCATTTCAAACATATATTCATGATATTTATGGAGGATAGAATAAATAAGATGTCCGCCTTTGCTGAAACAGAAAATGTCCTCGATGCAACAATGTTGTTTGAAAAAGACAAAGATAGTTATCTGACCTGTATTAATATTTTTGAGTCAATGCGACCAGCCTCAAAGGAAGTAACATGCAGCATTGCAAAAAGATTGGCTTTCAGTCTAAGACAGATAGGCAGGTTATCCGATTCTCTTAGATGTTTCAAAGTCGCCCTGGACACCACTTTAGAGCTCGGAGAACAAAGTGATAATTTTGACCTGGCTTTCTTGTATTATAATATAGGTTATCTACAGGGCGAACTTAGAAATGTATCCGCTTCTGTTGAATATCTGTCTAAAGCAAAAGACATGTATGAAAAACAAAATGGGAACTGTAATTACAAAAATTATTGTAAATGCTGTTATTATTTGACATTACAGCTGCATGATTCAGAAGAAAATTATGCACGCTGCTTTGATATATTAAACGATTCTCTTGACAAGGCCGTTGCTCATCACGATTTAAGTATGAAATATCTCGTACAGGCCGGAATTGCAGGAATCAAAGCCAGACAAGGAGAAGAGGAGGCCGTTTTATCCACCTTGCATGACATTCTAAATGCAAGCCCCGCAAAAGATGGTAAGGAAGACGGAGTGGGTATAGATGCCTTGAATGATGCAGCCGTAGCTTTGGGTGGTATTGGGAAAAATGAGGAATCTTTGCCATTATGTAGACGGGCAGTTGCTCTAGCAGAGGACTGCTATGGTGAACATCCTGACACTGCTATTGTTCTCGTGAACATGGGTTTTATCATGCAGAAGAATGGGGATATAGATGGGGCCATAGATGCGCTGAGAAGAGCATTGTCTATGAGCGAGAAGATACTGGGAAAATATAACGAACAGACAGCAGACACAATACATGAATTAGCTCGTGCCATATCTGCAAAGGGAAACCACGCAGAGGCTCTTAGTACATACCAGACAGCTCTTCGTATAAAGGAGCAAGTGCTGGGTAAAAGTCGTAGCACAGCCAATACACTGCATAACATAGGTCATGAAATGATAGAGATAGGTAATGTAGACGTTGCCGTGGATGTCCTCAGGAGAGCACTGGCTATAAAATCGAATATACTGGGAGAATATCACGAACAGACAGCAGCCACAATACACGAATTAGCTCGTGCCATATCTGCACAGGGAAACCACGCAGAGGCTCTTAGAACATACAAGACAGCTCTTCGTATAAAGGAGCAAGTGCTGGGTGAAAGTCACAGTACAGCCACTACACTGCATAACATGGGTCAAGAAATGAAAGCGTTGGTCAATGCAGACGGTGCTGTGGACGTCCTCAGGAGAGCAGTGGCTATGAAGGAGAATATACTGGGAGAATATCACGAAAGCACAGCAGTCACAATATATGAATTAGCTCGTGTCATATCTGCACAGGGAAACCATGCAGAGGCTCTTTGTACATACCAGAGGGCTCTACATATAGAGGAGCAAGTGCTGGGTGAAAGTCGTAGTACAGCAAAAACACTGCATAACATTGGTCATGAAATGATAGAGATGGGCAATGCAGACGGTGCTGTGGACGTCCTGAGGAGAGCTCTGGCTATGAAGGAAAATATACTGGGAGGATATCACAAACAGACAGCAGTCACAATACACGAATTAGCTCGTGCCATATCTGCACAGGGAAATCATCCAGAGGCTGTAAGTACATACCAGAGAGCTATTCGTATAAAGGAGCAAGTGCTGGGTGAAAGTCATAGTACAGCAAAAACACTGCATTGCATGGGTCATGAAATGATAGAGATGGGCAATGCAGACGGCGCTGTGGATGTCCTGAGGAGAGCTGTGGCTATGAAGGAGAAGATACTGGGAGAATATCACAAACAGACAGCAGTCACAATATATGAATTAGCTCGTGCCATATCTGCACAGGGAAACCACGCAGAGGCTCTTAGAACATACCAGAGAGCTCTTCGTATACAGGAGCAAGTGCTGGGTGAAAGTCGTAGTACAGCCAAAACACTGCATAACATTGGTCATGAAATGATAGAGATGGGCAATGCAGACGGTGCTGTGGATGTCCTCAGGAGAGCTCTGGCTATGAAGGAGAAGATACTGGGAGAATACCACGAACAGACAGCAGCCACAGCACATGAATTAGCTCGTGCCGTATCTACACAGGGAAGTCATGCAGAGGCTCTTAGTATATACCAGAGGGCACTTAGTATAAGGGAACGAGTGCTGGGTGAAAGTCTCAGTACAGCCAGTACACTGAAATTGATAAGTAATGAAATGATAAAGACGGGTAATGCAGACGGTGCAGTGGATGTCCTCAGGAGAGCTCTTGCTATGAAGGAGAAGATACTGGGAGAATACCACCAACAGACAGCAGACACAAAACATGAATTAGCTCGTGCCATATCTGCACAGGGAAACCACGCAGAGGCTCTTAGTATATACCAGAGAGCTCTTCGTATAAAGGAGCAAGTGTTGGGTGAAAGTCATAGTACAGCAAAAACACTGCGTAACATTGGTCATGAAATGACAGAGATGGGCAATACAGACGGTGCTGTGGACGTCCTGAGGAGAGCTCTGGCTATGAAGGAGAAGATGCTAGGAGAATATCACGAACAGACAGCAGCCACAGCACATGAATTAGCTCGTGCCATATCTGCACAGGGAAACCACGCAGAGGCTCTTAGAACATACCAGAGAGCTCTTCGTATACAGGAGCAAGTGTTGGGTGAAAGTCGCAGTACAGCCAAAACACTGCATAACATTGGTCATGAAATGATAGAGATGGGCAATGCAGACGGTGCTGTGGATGTCCTCAGGAGAGCTCTGGCTATGAAGGAGAAGATACTGGGAGAATACCACGAACAGACAGCAGCCACAGCACATGAATTAGCTCGTGCCGTATCTGCACAGGGAAACCACGCAGAGGCTCTTATTACATACCAGAGAACACTTCGTATACTGGAGCAAGTGCTGTGTGAAAGTAAGATGACATCTATTACGCTGCATAAAATGGGTCATGAAATGATAGAGATGGGCAATGCAGACGGTGCTGTGGATGTACTCAGGAGGGCTTTGGCTTTAGAGGAGAAGATACTGGGAGAATACCACGAACAGACAGCAGGCACAATACATGAATTAGCTCGTGCCATATCTGCACAGGGAAACCACGCAGAGGCTCTTAGAACATACCAGAGAGCTCTTCGTATAAAGGAGCAATTGCTGGGTGAATGTTTCAGTACAGCCAATACACTTTCCTGCATAGGTAAAGAATTGACAAAGCTGAATAAAAAGGTCGAAGCCCTGATTGCTTTTTTAAGGGCGATAGCTATGATTATAAAAACCTGCTGGAATAATACCAAACTTAGGCTTCAGTGACAAAACATGAGCTCCACAGCAATTATTAGAAAGCACTTGTTAGTGATGTGTAAGCATTAGGACAGCTAGTACAATCCGAAAGGCGGGTTATTTGGAAAATACAGATAGTGATAAGGATGTCTACGGAAGAGCATTGAATGTGGTCGCCATACTAGATAACCTTATACTGCAGTAAGTTACATTATACGAGACTATAAGAGAAAGAGCGAGAACTCTTGTGAATCTGGATCAACTTATGAGCGGTATGGGTGAAACTGCATAATATGGGAATATCTCTTTATTAGATAATATCCAAGTACTTGATACGCAAAATATGTTGAATTCGAACTGCAATTCAGCAGAGCTTGAGAGAATAGCTTTTATCCGTTGTGTAAAACATTCGCTAGTGTGCCATTATTTATGACCTTAATCTCCTCTTAATACCATAAAAATTGATCGACTTTTGCGCACATTGTTTAGCGATACTGCTAGTTATTATGCATAATGCCCGTTGACAATGAGGCAAACTGATTTTTGGTGTACCTACTATTTACTGTGGTATCAGCCATATCTGTCAAACTTGGCACATGGCGAGCACGCGTAATGTGTTTATATTTTTAGGAGATAATGTTTTTTGATAAGCAATTAATTATTTAAACATTAAGATTATCTTCTTCCTTTAAAAAAATATGTATTTTTCAATGAAAATCTACAGCAAATCCAATTAAATTAAATTAAGCAAAATTAAACCTGTTTTACGTTTCATTGTGGACTAATGACATCCAAATGCAGATTCACCGCTGAGCAGTTCCTTTGAATGGAAGATACTCAAAACTGCCGCTACGTTTAGGGGCACTGTAAAGTTTACACATGAAAAGGTACAATGAACAAGCTACTTTTATAGTGTCCGTAGACTAAGGGTAGAAGTGGAGTAGGTGAGCTTGAACAGGCAGATAATGTGTTTACTGAAGCTTTTCCGGTAAACGAGTTCGCGTTTTCGAAGGACAGCCTGAGCCTTTTCTTCCATAATGTCTTTTCCTGCCCACATGAATTGGTTTAAACTAGGTCACAGCACGAGAGTCTCGTGATAACCAAATATCTAGGGTTCAAGTATGAACATCGACTTTGTACTTGAAAAAAAATCGTTAAAAAGTGGAATTTGATTTATTGCTTTATTATTTTTAAATTTTTATATTGTTAGGTTGATACGTATTATTAATCGTTAGAACGTATGGGAAAAGTGTCGCTTACCCCATGAATTTCCGTTTTCTGGGACCTTTCCTGCCAAAATGAAGGATAGTTGTCATAACTTAGTTACGAATTTTGATTTTAAATATTTTACAAAATTTCAGCTAAATAGTTGAATAAAGTGGACCCAGCCAACTTTTTAAAAAAGAAATCAAACCTTGAGAAGCCGCAAAACACTGAATCATTAAACCGAATGTTATAAACCTATTCAAAAGACATTGTACAAATACTGAAATAAAACTTTTATAGCGTGGAATGCAATTCACGTACACCTCAAGAAAACTTTCGAACGAATTTTGTGGCAAACCTGGACTACACGTAAACTTTCAAAAGGAAGGTAAGTCACGAGTAAATTATAAACAAGTATTTAAAACACCGCCGTATAAAGGCAAATACCCAGAGGACAGCGATCCCTCCCTCAAACAACAACAAAACATCTGCTACTACTTCCGTTACTGCTACTTATTACTAATTTACTTTAAATCTAAAATCCATTTAAAATTCATAAGATCCACCACGTTCAGTAGAGGTTAGTGATGATTTTAAAATAAAAGCGATTTTAATAAGTGTAAAACAAACCGCAACTCTCTCTATCTTTCTCGCTCTTGTGAGATCAAACAAAATATACGCACGCTTATTGGGTCCCTGGTCGTGATAAAACAAAGACGGCAGTTGGCAGTTGCGGGTGTCAAGAAAAAAAGAAAACAGTCAACCAATCACAACAGCTTTCTTCAATTTCCCATGGTCTTGATCACTCTGATATACTTTGAAATGTATCAGTACCGCAGTTTTAAAAGTCATATTTTACAATAAGCATGTAATCTCGCTGCCCTGGTCATTCTGTTCATTGGCCAAGCGCCTTATCACGCAGTAGGAGGGGGGTGTGGTGGGGAATGGGGTGGGGTGGACACCTGGACGCCGGGTACAGAAACATGGTACAACTGTCTCATATTTGCCTCCACCATATACATGGCCCGTTTTAAACCATGGCCAACATTTGCGCGTCTTATTTATTACCTTGCATATTTGCCAGATCGCAGTGTGATGACACGGGAATTGGGCATGATTATATTGGTGCATGTAAAACAGAGGTAAACTCTTATGTGTACCTCAAATAGCTCCATCACTCGGGAACTGTCAAGGAAACAAGCCATTGTTCGACCATGCGGCGCAGGGTTGGGAGTCCCTGCGGCCCTTTGGTAAAGGTAGATTCCGGCGGCACTGTACCAGTGTAAGCGTAGCAAAACCTGGTCAAAAGTTGCAAGGCAGTGAAGCTGAGGACAAAAGCTAGGGAAGATATATCAGCATATGGTCTGCTGTTTATTTTCTGAGTTTATCTAAGATTGGAATTATTTATCAATAATAATAATACATGTAACCTATTTTAGCCTGGAGGTACGTTTTGGTGTGTATGCAAACTTTTTTTTTGCTTTATCATTTTGCATATTTAGTGCTATTTTGTTCATAGAGCCAGCATTACTATAATGCACATGTGCTGTGTTTTATAAATGGAAATACCCAACTTTAAAATATTTATGAACTATATAGAAAACCGCATAGTTCCATAAATGTTTCGTATAACGACCTTAAGACTATAAAAGTTTCTACATTTTGACCCAGTTGTAAATGCTTAGCCTGAAGAACGAGGTCATTTCACTCGTGGCTATAAATAGGTATAAACTGGTACATGTGTATAAAGCACGATTGAAGGTGGTTTCAAGTCACGTTATAGTTGATATCGACCGGTTGAAACTTAAGGTTTTTGAGGTCACTGGAAGTCTACCTCTCTGTTATAACTCTGCCATTTACGTTGACTAAAAACGACAAGAGGTAAGGAGATTGTAGAAAGGTGAGTTTGCGCTCTATTTTTTCCGCTTAATAGCTACCGGCGTCCTTGTTTTTGGCTCTTATCACATTGACAATGAGTAAGTAAAGCCCTGCTTATTTGGGAGTAAAACAAAGGTGGCGTTTGATGAGGCTTCCGGGTGTCGAGAAAAAAAAAAAGACTCACCTGCTGTTAGACAAACGTGGACAGACGTACACCTCACGCATTTTGCGTGAGTACTGTCAGATAACAGGCTCAGATATAGTAGTCTGTTACAACATATCTGTGCCCATACTTTGAGTTTATACTATTTTAGATGCCCTAGTTAATAGACGTTATATAGTATGTGCCATATCCAACCAACGGCGTATATATAAGGGGATTGTCGTGGGGGTGACTTGGAGTCACGTGGGAGGGTGGGGGGGGGGGGGGGCCAAAGTGAGGTTTACATTAAAGATGTATTTCCTGTTCCATATTTATATTATTTCTTGCAAATCTGCTTTTCTTTTACAGCGCGACAGGGCTTTTTTTAAACTAGGATTTCCCTTAGGTTCTCGTATTTAGTTCATATAGGGTTTTGGATGAAATTAAAGCACTTGCTGACAACCACTGGTGTATATGTTTACCTCACTGATTCAACATGCCCTGCATTTCTAATACAACATACCGTACATCCGACATATACGTGCACGTAACGTAATGAATAATGTGATTAACACATATGGTTTCCATAACAGGGGATACGAGGTTATCATATATGTGTATGATCGCAGATCTAACGATGGCTCCATGCACAATTATCGAAAGAATTATATGCAAACGCGTCATGTAGAGTGCATTAAAATAAGTTAAGCTTTGTGCCCCACCCCCCTCTCCGTCGTTTTACCTTGTCCCTCGCAAAGAGTCGACAAGTTTTTGCCAATGAAAATTTGTTTTTAATATGAAGTTGTTTCAGAAATGGATCGCTGGGCAGGACGTGTTGCCTTGGTAACAGGAGCATCAAAGGGGATGGGAGAAGCCATTGCTCGGTCTCTTGTTAAGAATGGTATGGTGGTGGTTGGATGTGCCAGACACGTGGAAGGAATGCAGGTATGTTTTAGAAGAAGAAGAAGAAGAAGAAGTAGAAGAAGAAGAAAATAAAGATTGAATGTCTCGGCGAGAAGCACTATAACTGCTATTAAATTGTGTTCTCGGAAAATTACAAAATAGCCAAGGACAAATTCTTTAAAAGAATTGTTTCCAGGTACATGTCCTATATACATGTATCTATAAAATACGAATTTTGGGCCATATAGAGATAGTTGTCAATGATAATTGTGCCATACCCAAACAATTCGTGGCTAGTCCTTATCTATTACTTTTATTTCTATTTTCTTTCTCCATTGGCATTATTTGATAGATATACTTTATTCAACAACTCATATGCGTTCGGGCGATGTAGAATAGACGTTAGTATAGAATACCGACCTCCAACTAACATCTTCCTACATATAGACGTTTAGTTGAGTAACTAAGATGTTAAATACGATAATCACAAAACTGATCAATTAATTTTTGTCATTGGAAGGACAGATGTTTGAATACATATGTATCTGTATTCCAGAAAGCAGCCACGGGACTTGAGGGCGAAAAGGGTCGTTTGATTCCAATGAAGTGCGACCTTACCAAAACAGAAGAGATCGAGTCCATGTTTCAAAAGATCAAGGAACAGTTGGGCGGTGTCGACGTATGCGTTAACAACGCTGGAGTCAACTTCTACCAGGATTGCAAGACAGGTCCTTTATCTGATACCAAGACATTGTATGATGTAAGAGAACTCAGCTGCTATGTTTTCAGCATATTGTTAGTCGTTTTACGGTAAGATCCAGTATCCAGGTGCAGGGGCGGATCCAGGATTGTTTGAGGGGGGTCCGCGGATGCAAAGTCTCCCCCCCCCCCCCCACTTGGTGTGGAGTCCGCTTAAGGGCCCCGAAAATGTTGGTATTGTAGATGGCGAATGGTGCCATTTGGTAAGGTTTAGAATATGATTCAGATAGGCAAAATACTCATTTCAATTGGACGACCGTATATTGCGAATAAGTCTAAAGCCTTTTTCCAGGTGAATGTATTCGCTGTCATCACCGTTTCCCAGCTGACCATTCAGTCCATACAAGAAAGGAACAGGGATGACGGGCACATTATCAACATCAGCAGGTAATACATACACCAGTTCTAAACAGAATACATACTAGTTTCAACTGCTCGTCGTCCACTGTATGCGGCATACTAGGTAGAAAAGTACAATTATACTATTGTTTGAAGGGCCAGCCGTGGTATAAATATTTATTATCATGACCTACTAATAGATAAATGATCAGGTCATCAATTACACGCGCCATTAAACGTATTAAATCTCAGCTCCGAGGTTTAATTGCTAGGCCCCTGCCAGGAGACCAACATGGAATTTGCGGCATCGGTTTTGAAGTGGGGTCGGCCATATTTAGTCGGAGGATCAGTTAGTACTCGGATTATCTATTCTGAATGGCCCCTATGTGAAAACTTTTAAAATCACATCCCAAATATGATGAACCTGTTATCCGTGCTGAATTCCACACTTTTCTCTGTTTATAGTGTGTGTGGAAGCACGGTCCATGCAGACGTCCCATGTCACATGTATACCCCAACAAAGCAAGCTCTGAACGCTTTCACAGAGGGCCTACGACACGAGCTGAGAAAGGAGAAAACGAAAATTAGGACGACGGTATGAGAGAGAGAGAGAGAGAGAGAGAGAGAGAGTAATATTTGGGCTCAAGATAATTAACTACTATAACAGTTCAGACAATAATTAATTAAATAGACAATTAAATAGACAATTAAGCAAAAAGAATTTGGACAAGCACAAGCCAGAGTAAATGTAATTGTACAATACTGGTACAACAAGGGTCGTATATGTGTTATTATAATTACTTGTCCTTTGCAACGCACGGGTCTCCATAGATGGGCGGTTATATAATATGATTTTACTAAGTAAATTTTCTTAATGTATATATTGGCATCCTGTTAAAGAAAATATCATTCGTTATCACTAGGTCATTAGCCCTGCATTGGTCGACACTCCGCTCGTGAGAGGGTTATTTGATGCCAGCTTCTTCTGCCCAGAATATGTAAGCTACAATAAATACTTGGGAACTAAGACCACATTCTTATACTTAGATCGATCTAAGAAGATCGATCTATCTCCGAGGGGTTTCTTGCTAAATTGCTTTCAGCTAATTAGCGGCTTAGATGACTGGCACGCCATCTGAATCTGTTGAACGATAGTTTATTACCCCCTCACAGCTTCGGTAGACGTGCCAAACATCAGAGCCGCTTAAGCTGAAAATTTATCGAGAAGCCCCTCGGAGATGGATCGATCGTGTTAAATCGATCTAGGTAAATGGAATGGGATCCCCTAAACTTATCGCACTACATGTAGCAGGATCGATCGTTTTTTCACATAAAAAACTTCAGCAAGGGTAGTGAATTTTTTACAATTCTTAATTGATTTTTTTAGAAAATGGCATCAGTTAAGAAGTAAAAAGAGAGAAATTAAAGATCTCTAGAAAAAAGTTGGGATTCTCGCCACTTTAGGCGCAGACAATGTAATTAGCTTAATTGTCTGACACGCCCCCTTGACAAGCAGCATAAATAACATGGGCCACAAAGATTTCTCGACTTTATCCAAGCACGTTAAGTTACGAGGGAGCGTGCAAGATATTTACTTCGTTTCGGCCAAAAAATAAATTTTCCTGGAGTAAACAATTTTCCCATACTTGCCAATGGTTAATGAATCCATTTTTACATTTAAAGTTAGTCCCTGTTTTTTTTTCTAAAAAGTTCTAAAAAGAGTATAGCCATTAATGGAGGTCACGTGGTCTAAAGACAAGCTCAGATATTAGAATAATAGTTTTAACTGCCGTTTTTGTGGTAAAACAGAATATATTGTATTTCTATGAGTTATTCACTATGTTTTTATTGTGATATATAGATCTCATACAAAAAGTTATTATCCCTTTAAACTGAATGCAAAAAGGGAAAACAACGAGGAGATAGATCGATCGAGCTAGAACGGTAGGGTTATTGGAACGGTTCCTTAATCTTAAACCGTTTTGGGCCTGTTGTAGACTGTGTCCGCTTATGATAGGTCTGTGACACGCCACGTTTTCCTCTGAAATAAAAGATAAGCTTGAATTTATCCAGTGCACTCAGTCTATAAGGTTTATAAGAAGTCTTTTGAGACTATTTTCAGGTATGGAGGATATTTTTAAACCAAAATAAAGTGCACATTGTTATTAAGTAGTTTCATATAACTTGAAATGCAATTTACTACATTTTATTTTATTTTATTTTTTTTTTGTATTAGGTGAAATAATATTCCCAAAGAAATGGTTTTATAAAATTGTTTACATGGTTCTAACAAAAGGATACGCATTTTCATACCAATTGACCTGATGGATTATCAATTTATTATTGATATATGACCGCAGTAAGATTCACACACAGAACTAGCTGGGACGGCCCAAGTCTTCGGGGGATTTTCACTAAGTGCAATCCGTGGCAGAGGCGGATCCATAGTTATTTCCTGTCAGGCTTTCAAATTATCTTTGCCGATCCATCTTCAATTTTGACCGTCTTCCGACAAAAAATGATATACCCGTCAATACAAACTTGAAAATCTGACCGTCTTCCGGAAGACCCAGAAGACTGCCTCAATCCGCCCCTGCGTGGAATCAGCTTAATTGTCTGATACGCCTCTTCAAGCAGTCGAACAGATTTTACTTATTGTGTGCTTATAAAGCTGGTTTCACTGAATGCACTTAAGCGAGTATACCCCACTGAGTTGGGTCGACCGAGCTTGTACAATGTGTGAATCTAAATACGTCCTATTTTTGCTAGAGTCTTCAACCGGACGATGTCGCTGCCGCCGTGACCTTTGCCCTCAGTGCCCCGCCATGTGTCAACGTAAGTAAAAATTCACTAACTTTGGGACGTATGTTAAACTTAATGATAAGAATTAGGGACAGACAAGGGACAGCACAAAATGACCTCCAAGGGCATATTGAAATCCTTTATTTTACAGAGTGTTCAGGTCAAAAATTTTCCTTCATAAAGGTGAGATGTTTGTCTTTTCCGTCTTTCTGCATTTATTAGTCTATTTTATCTTCATTTCTCAGGTCCGCCATATTTGCCTCCACGCCATCCACGACTCGTTATAGTCCGGGACAACTGCCGCCTTTGCCCATCTGCCAAGTTCACGCCTTTTACAGTCATCAAATTCAGTTTGTTAAACTATTCTCCAGAACATTTATGTTATTTAAAGCTTTTCTGTAATTAGAAATCCATACCGTGCATTTTCTGAAACCGAAATTGTAAAAAATATATAAATAAAACAAAACAAAATACTAAGACTCAAGAATTTATTATTATATTTACCTTTTTCATTACTTTATTTCTTTGTTTAATTGATTTTTGATCCACTATAATTGAGAATCTTACTCAGGTTGTTACTAAATGTGGGTCAATTTTCTCTACAATGTCAGGCAAGAACTTCCTCCCCATCCCTAATTCCAGTGTAGCAATAACAGATGCCATGACTAGCATGAAATATTTTGATAATCAGTGGTCATGTCTCCAGTTTTTTCTTGTCCAAATAGTGCCCCATTTCTCAACTTCTTCTCAATTATGTAGCAAACACTTATCATCGACCCTTCATAATTCACACCGAGTCCAATCTGTGATCCTTCAAAATCAAAGACGCTGTCCAAAATTTATCTTCACCTGATGTTTTTTTAAACCACAAATTATTGTCGCTATCAGTCTGAGTCTGGTTGGGCATCTACAAAACTAGCCAACATGCTCTCCACCTGCAAAGAAAACAGAAAAAAATTAATGAATAAAGATTAGTTTCATAATAAAACTCAATTATTTGGTTGTTTTCTTTCCAAAATAAGGTTGATAATATTGAACTACTAGTTGATAAAGATGGCCCAGTTAGGAGCTCAGAAGGAAGAAAATAATTCCCACCTGCTAGGTGGGGCTACACATCAATTCCTTTGGGTGCTATAAAAAAGAAGACATAGCCCAAGGCGTCTTCTGCCACCCACATGTAGTTGTGACCATGTTTTATCATCCTTCACTAACCTGATCACTGCTCTCCTCCATTTCTGACAATTTTCGCTTGTGGGTTTTTGTCTCTTCATCTTCACTGAGGAATTCTCCTGCAGGTGTCACTGCTGTAGCCGTCCTTTCATTTCTATTACCCCCTACAGGTGGTGCCACAGTAGCTGCTTTAGTCCCAGTTGGCTGTGTAGACATTACAGAAAAAAATTCATTCCCATTACCTGAGAGTGTGTCATCTTTACTTGTTGATGCTTCAGTGAAAATATCGTCTGGTTTGGTGGTCAAGCTTTCAGTTGTGGAAACTCTTTTGCTCTTTTTAACCTCCTTCTCTTCAGTTTCCATAGCAACATCAGAACATTCTTCCTCACTTTCTGAAGAGTTCTCCTCAGCAGTAGGCTTGTCCATGGCAGCAGGCAAGTCACTTGGTGCACCAGATTTACCTATCGTGTCATCTTTTATTAGGGAATTTGTTTGTTTTACAACTGACTGTGAATCTTGGAAACTCGTTGTGAAAATAGATTCCCCACATTGCCTATTTTTCCCACTTATAAATAAAGAATTGTCAACAGTTGATTTTGAAACCTGGCTTGTCTTGTTAACATCTTGGATTTTGCTGCCATCTACAGTCCAGAGAATAGTTTGTTGGAGTGATGGGACTCTGGGATGAATGACTGCTTCGCAAATTGTGAGTGCCTCTTGACAGAATGAAGATACCTGAATGAAAAGGTCAATTCAATAAGTTAGCCATTGCTTTTCTATTTTCAACAACTGAAAAGAATATTTTAATTAAAAGTATTACCCTTATTTTCTTACCCACTCATCAGTACTGATATGTTGTGCAAATATCTTTAAACCACACATAATTATTCATGTAAGTCTTAGAGTTGAATCTTTTAAAATATGTATCTCAATCAGCAAAATTCATTTTTCTTAAGACAGTTACCATTTTTAAATATTGAAACTGATGCTCATGACTAATAAATGACTGATAAATTTTTCTTGAGAGTTTTTTACATTTCCCACAGCCTTAATTCAGTTTAAATACTTTGAAAAAGGTCGTCACCACAATAGTCAAGTTCCCATGAACAGTATCACAGAAGTAAAATTTACGCATCACATAAAACTGTTCATATTTTACAATAAACATTTCTCTCATGTCACCTTTCTGTCTGGGTCATTCTGTCCACCAGTAAACAGCCTTATCACACAGTGGGTGGGGGGCGGACACTTGGATGCCGGGATCAGAAACAGACACTGGATCACATGGTACAGCTCTCTCCTGCACTCTGGGTCTGAGTATGGCCCAGGTGACCCCTGGTCAGTGAAGGCCTGGACACGCAGTGCCAGGGGTAAGGCGATTTCTTGGATATCCTGTATTAATGATAGAATATATATGTAAAACACCATGTTAAAGTACATGAATCTAAGTGTCCTTACTTTTCTCCTTGTCTATAGTCATTCATGTTAGCTGTTTTTGATTACATACGACCTCTCCTAAACACAAAAATATCATGTCTGATAATTCAGTGCAGCTATAAATAATAAAACAACACGAATATCAATATTTGCTTTCACTTTTTATCAGACAAGAAACAAAACATCATATCTGATAACTCACTGCAACTATAAATAATGAAAAACCCAAATATCAATACTAGTATTTGCTTTCAATTTAATTTTTTAATCAGAAAAATCATGTCCTCCCTCCTAAAAAAAATCTGCAAGTAATAAATAAAAAAGTTTCAAGAAGCAGGTCAGGCTTCCATCAGAGGGGAATTTTTTCTGAGCGCAATCAAAAATATAAATCTTTTGGGAATAAATATTGTAAGAAAATAAGGTGTTTGAAATTTGTGAGTGATTAATGTTTAGCAATTCACCTACCCTAATCCTCTGAACTTTTAACAAACTTCCAACAGCCACCAGAAGGTGTCTCAAAGCAGCCAGAGCAGAGAGACAGACATCAGCATTAGCCGAGTGGTCAAGAACTTTACGAGTGGACACACCTTCTAATCCAGCTTTATTACCCTTCTTCCTTTTATTAGGAGGCTCTGTGTACTGATCTGGCTTCTTATTAATAGTCTCCAGCTGAAATAAAGTCAGTACGAAAATGTTTTTAAGAAAATCGGATTTATTAAATAACTATTTTAAAGTTTACTTCTGCCAGAGAGATTAGAGTAAGATGGAAGCACTGTTTTACTAGTACAATAATATTTTAACCAGAGATGAACATGCAGCTCCTGCTCGGGAAGACAGAGCTGTAAACAATGGTAACCTGTACAGAAACTTTAGTACTCTTCCTCACTGTCACTAAACTTAACACGACAGCATTATTCAGACATACATTTAATTAACCACTATTATTTATAATAGTGTCTGCATATGGAAAGTTACCTTACCAAAGTAAATACCTTCAGTAGGACATATACTTGAATGATCACACACTTAATGTCAGTTTGTTTAATTCTCTTATATGTAATCATGAAATCTCATTAATACCTTTATAACGTCAACATCTGGAGTGATATCTCTTTTCAGCTGAGTCAACAACTGGTCTATAATATTATGAACATTAGAGGATGCACCAAGTGTTTGGACCCAGACGACGAGTGTGGAATATACTTCTTTTCGTAAATTACTAAAAGTAAATAAATGGAGAAGTAGATAAACATACAAATTCATTCTTTCTATACAAATTTATTTGCAAGTTTATTAGTTGTGAAAATTCTGTGTCCTTTGCTCATTTTAACATTATTTTTTAAGAAAAGTTTGCAAGTATAATTATAATAGTAATTATTATTTTAACAATGGAAATTGCTATACAAAAGCCAATCTGTTCAAACTTATCTACTTAATGACCCTCTTTGTATTCATTTTTACTTTAAAGAAACAGATTTGCTTTCTTTTTGCATAAAGCACTGAACTCTGGAAATTCTGTGAGAAGTCATGTGACTTACCCATAAGGTCTTTTCCTACCATCTGCTGTGTCTTCAGTTATAGTCCAGGACAGAGTTTGGATGAGAAGTTGATTTACTGTGCTGGTATAGGAGATTAGGTTCTTTTGGCAACTATAAAAGAAAAAGAAATATAAAAATAAAAAACATATCAAATAAAGATGAACAAAAAATTACAAATACAAATAGTTACTAGTAGGTACATAAGAAAAAAGCTGAAGAAAGAACTAAGTTTATGAAGACAATTATTTCACTAAGCTTAAATTCTCATCATAATCAGAATCACGAAGCATAAATAAAATTACATAAAACCTTAAAATTTTTGAACTAAATTATTTTCACATAAAAAACTTCAGCAAGGGTAGTGAATTTTTTACAATTCTTAATTGATTTTTTTAGAAAATGGCATCAGTTAAGAAGTAAAAAGAGAGAAATTAAAGATCTCTAGAAAAAAGTTTTAATTCTACCATATACACACCATAAGATGAGACAGGACAGCACCCTGAGGACAGAGGTGTGCAGGAATGGTAACACATACCTTAAGATGAGACAGGACAGCACCCTGAGGACAGAGGTGTGCAGGAATGGTAACACATACCTTGAGATGAGACAGGACAGCACCCTGAGGACAGAGGTGTGCAGGAATGGTAACACATACCTTGAGATGAGACAGGACAGCACCCTGAGGACAGAGGTGTGCAGGAATGGTAACACTGAGAGCAACTGTAGATTATCTGTGGATGGACGGAGTAGCTAAAATAATAGTAACAATAATAATAAATAAATTTAATAAACTTGATATCTACAAATATAGCCAAATCAGAGTTGACATTTTTATCATGAAGAAAAATTTAAAGTCAATAAAAATTCACAATGTTTCTCTACCTCTTCTTCACTCCATCCATCTCTTATTTTTGTGTGTAATATGTACGACATTGAACATGTATAAAAATTAAAATATTTTGTCTCAACATTTGGCAATCTACACAAGTTTGAGGGGATCATCTTACCAAAGCTCTACCAGTAACTGCCAGCGCCCTCTGTATGAACCCGATCACTTCTGGTACAGGAATCCTCACTACAGCTGGGAAGGTGGTGCTATAAACAGTATCATAGCACTGGTAAATATCAATAGCAAATTAGTGATTGACGTTTATAATGACTTCATTTATGTCAGATAAATGAAATTAAGTTGCATCTGACAGTTTTAAGTACGGAATTAGAACACCTTTTTTTAATTACTATTATTTTAAATTTTAAAATACTTTTATACTTTTATACTTTCTTTTGGAAAAACAATCAAAGAAAAATGGGTACGGTGGCACTGATGAGTAAAGGTACTGAAAATAATAAAACCTTACCTCAGCATTCCCCCTAGACAACCACATAACATGTCCAGCCTGTTACGTAAACCCACAATTCTCTCCATGCCTGTGCCTTGTACTGGACTCAAAGAAAGCTTTTCAGACTTCTTCTTGTTCTCTTCCACTCCTACAAAATAAACAATTCATCCAATAGGTTTAATTCAGGTTGTCCCCTTGAAAATATGTTTCATTTCCATATTCAATTTCAGGCCTCAGTGTATTCAGTGCCATCTATACCTACCCTCCAGTTTTATTTGGAATTTAAAAATGGTGCATTGTGAATTTTGCCATAAAAAAATTCACATATTGCTTTGGCTTCCTTTACAAAATATGTACACTGAAAATTAAAATTTTAAACAAAATCAAATAAAATGCTGTGGTCACATCATGAGGGATTTTCAGCTTTAAAAAAGAGTGAGCCATTTCAATTTTTCATAAATAGGTTTTTTATAACAAAATCAAATAAACAGACAAGTTAGTAAAACAAATAGATAAATAAATTAAATGTAATTAAATCCATACCTGACTCCACCCCTTCATAAAGCTGATCAAGAGTATCATGAAGAGAGCCCAGCAGCTTGTGACAGTTACTGCTCCATGATTCTGCGTGTTTTATTCCCTGGTTTCCTCCCCCTCCACACTGAGACAGCCAGGGGAAGACAGAAACAGCAGCCTGGAAGAGGAACATGTTTGTCTATCAGGACTGACAAGAAGTGGGTATGGGCAAAATAAATGTATGAAAATTGCAGTCTATTTTAAGAATCAGTGCCAAGTTTGGTCATCACAACTGGTATGTGATGTGATTAACTGAGTATTCATCTTTTACAATGAAAAGTAAACTTCATAATGAAAACAGTCACAAAATAGCAAAAAAAAAAAATAAAATAAAATAATAATAATAATAATAACAATAATAATAATAATAATAAAACAATATATATAGTATATAAAAATGCACAGTGACCTTATCGTCTGTAACAGATAGAGATCAATATTGTTCAATGTTGTGGGAGTTTGAAACCTGTGCCATAATTTAAAAAAAAGATATTTTCTACACACCCAAATGATATAATCTGCTATCTTACCTCCACAACTCTGGGGTTCTCTTTAGTTAATTGATCTATAACCCAGTTTTCAATTTTACCCTGAAATGATAGAAGACATAAAATGTTAATGAAATGAATATTTTACCATGGATTAATGTCAAACAAAATTACATAGAATTAATAATAAATAGGCTTTAAGAATATAGAGATTTTAAAATGATAAACCAATGGTAATAATAATGATGAGAAACCAGATATATTCATGTATGAAATATATAGTGTTATAACCTTAAAAGTGCCACAAGGTCCTGAATAGAACTGCATACACTTCCCAATACAGTACAAGGCTGCTTCTAAACTCTGTTAGATAGAAAAAATGCACATTCATAATTTAAACAGAGATAAATGCATATGTAAAGAATGGAAGTTCTATAAATTTCAAATACTTGTTTCCCAAGCAAGTAGTTACAGTCATAAAACATAGACAGAGTTGTCAGTATGTGCATCTGAGCTGAATTTTCAATTAGGTGTCATTAAAGTGAACATAGAACTAATGTACTAAGGCAAATGATTATTGAATAAGCCAGGACATTGTGAATAACTGATATAATAACATCCTAATAACATCTTATAGCATCTTAACTATCAGCTATTTCAATAAAGATGTGTTAATGAGAGAGAGAGAGAGAGAGAGAGAGAGAGAGACTATACATACCTCTTCCTTCATAACAAGCAGAGCAGGAATGAGCTGGGGCAAGGAGTCAAGGGCAACCTGTCGAGCCAACTCAGGGCAAGTGGAGGACTTCTCTGTAAGACTTCCTAGTACATAACACGCCAGTCTGTGAATACTTGCTGGTGCATAGCCCTGAAAGGTTATACATGGAAAACATGACAGATTTGGAAAAAAACAGGTTATTTGAAAATGGGTCATTTATCTTAACAATTCAATTTAAAATAAATTTCTCTTCTTGTTGAAGATTCCCAATTTTGCTGACTGGTTACAATAATACTTGGTCCTGAAAAAAAAAAGAAGTTAACTGGTAAGACATTGATCTGCTTTAATTTTATTGGTTATTCTTACCTTGATAATCTGTATGAGAAGGCGTGTCCAAGTGATGGTATACTGTGACAGAGTTTCTGTGCTACACTGGCTGAGAAGATCATTCAGCAGTACAAGACTCTCAACTCTACAAAAATGTACAAAAATGAAAAAAAAAAAAAAACAGTAAAATAATAACAAACAAGATATCTCACACATAAAAATTACTTCAGAAATAAGTAAATAAAAGAAAATGAGAGCTAAACACAAGTCTAAATTACGTAGAAGGCCCCCTGTTTTCTCTCAACATAACAGATAAAAGTAATATGGGAAAATGAGCAAAAATGTTCATTAGCTTGGTAGTTGGAACATACATATATATGATATATAACATGGGAAAAGTTTTAAACAGAAACAATAAGTGTATGCTTACCTGGATTTTGCTGCATTTAGACCTGAGTTGATTTTCCTTATCTCATCTTGAATTTGACTTGCTTTCTGAGAATAAGCAAAAAGATTAAAATATATAGACTCAAGGCCAAGTAGGGCACAAATGCCAAGCAATAACGCAATAAAGGAATTTCCATTCCTCAAAAACAATTGAAGAACAATTAACTGCTTACTATATTTAACTAAACCAATACATTAGTTAAATTTTGCGTCTACAGCAATCATATTTTAACTTCATTTATCCGTTTGTATGCTGTACCAGGGGTAATCCTAGAGAGGGGTAAGAAACGTCCATTGTTCTCGTCAGTGAGGCTAACCAAATTCAGGGTATGTACGCACAGACAGAAAACCATGTATTGTGGGAACGTTACCAATGAAGCCACTGGTAGTACTAGTAGATATCAGTCTGTAGTCTTGAACAGGCACCTCGATGACCAGTGAACAGTTGTCAAAAACAAAAGACCCAGGTGTGGTAAATCGACTACTGTTCATGCGTGCCGCAAAGACCAAGCCTTATTGCCCCTCAAGGTCACAAACCAATATCCGGTACTGACGGTTAGACTCGTCATAATCATATAAGTAGCGCGTTTCCACCTCCTGGCTGTACAACTGAAGCACTCCATAACAGTAACGAGTAATTAGGCTTCTGTCTGCATGTCACCCTATTAACAGCTTCCGTATCCACTCACCTGGAACTCAGAAGAATCCCAAAACCTGTGGTGCATGTATTCAGAACAATAAGCCTCCTAGCACTACTGTTCACTGTTATGTTAGTGCACACTAGATAGATAAAGCACTAGTGCCGTATATAGTCATAGCTACTAGAACCGTGCACTTGGCACACGACACGAACACAAGACAGCTGATGTGATAAGGAATAATCTACAATATATAAAACTAATTTGACTCTGAATTATAACATACAATCATTACCTGTGTGTTGTAGAGTGTGTGTTCGTCTACAATCTGTCTGAAATCTACCAGAGACCGCAAATTTCCTTCAAAATTTGTTGTCAACACCGACAACACGTGTTCCCGTCCTTCCATATTGTTTGCGCTTTGTTCCTCATATCAGCGTGAAACACTTTTATTTTAATCAACTTCATAATTAAACATTCGAATGCTAGGTGAAAAGATTAATAGTAATAAAAAGATAATTTTTTCTCCAACTTATTTCAATTTGAAAGATTTTAATAGTTATTAATGTAATAAATGTATCATATAGCGAGCTCTTATTGCCTGGAACTAATCAAAACACTGCTATATTTATCAGCCTCAAGATGACGCTGCAGTCCCCCCGACAGAGAAAAGGGATTTGCACACGTATATTGGGCCCAAAAGTTAGTGTTCTGGTATTCAACGGTTTTTTCCCGTAGAAATGATTAATTGATACTACAGTAGTCATAATAAAAATATCTCTAAAGTTTTATTTACATCTACTAATAATTAAAACGAGGAAGAAGAAATGTTGACTAAACATTGTAACTTTCAAAATTCTTTATTTTTCCAATAATAATAATAATAATAATAATAATAATAATAATAATAATAATAATAGTAAAACAAATCAATATAAGGGTAAAGCTTGTTAGTGTTTTTTCTTTTTTTCTTTTCTTTTTTTTTTGCTTTTTATAACCTTCCTTTTTATCTTTTCTTTTTTCCTCTTTTTCTTTCTTTTTTTTTCAAGAAAATATAATTGCTATGATATTTCATCATTGATAAAAATCTATATATGTATTGTAGAACTTAAACAGTTGGCTTCCTTCACTGTGTCTCGTTAATCCTGCAAAGCAAGACACAATGCATATGGTATCGCTGAATAATTATCATCACCGATCCATTTTTCGAAAAAACATTAAAAACTTTGTTAAAAATATGTACGTGTAGGCTTAGTCGTGGAAAATATTGTAGGCCTACATGTACCTGCAACAAATTGAAAAAAAAAATGGCATATGTTCTTGCATATAATGAAAGAGAATAAATGTTATCATAAAATACAATACAGCTGGTTTCCCCCAGAAAAATATGCAGATAAAACGGTTGACACAGCATGAAAACACTTGGTTTAGATAACTGTACAATATGAAAATGTTAACGTATATGATACTGCTTGGTATAAAATTTCTTAACTTTCGACATGAAGATATCAATCGATAGTAATAATAATATAAAAATAAAAATCCCGAGGAAAAGAAATTCGGGGGTCTCTACTCCCCGCATCGCTCCATTTCTCATGTTGTACTTAGTTCGCTGTTTAGACTTGGACATAATAACGAATATCCAAGGTTTAGATAGATATTTTGTTAACAAGCAGTCCTGTCTGGTATGTTGAAGCTCTGGTCTGCATTGAATTCTACGTGATGACAATATCACCCACACTTGAATAATTCCTCGATTTTTATCTCTGTTTCTCAATAACTCGATGTTAATTACCTTGCGGTATTCCATTATATTTTACTACTTGCATTATATATCCTTCTCCCTAATAAGTGAATATACTCATTTTACAAAAAGGGGCCTACCCTCTTTCACAAATCATACTTAAACTTGAAATCAATACTAGGGATTCTTCTCAGAGAATCCTCAATGTTTAGGCAGAAATGTAGTTGTACCTAAATAGCTAATAAGTTTGTTTTAAAAATATCTACCGTCTCTATCTGCAAGCGCACGCCTCAGCGAGCACACGCACATTGCGAATCACAAGTGTTCAAGGCAACCATTTTTTTTTTTGGCTTAATTAAAATATATGACCACTTTAATAACTGCTGTAACAATTGTTTTGCCTCACACTTTTCCGCCACTAAAACACCAATTATTTGACTAAAAATATTAAAACTTGAGGTGGTGAACAGATTGAAAAAAATATGCAAAACAAAGTGGAAAATTCGATTAATAAATTTGCCCTTGTTGGTGTTGACTGCAGGGTTTTCTTTGTTTATAGCTTTGTTGACAAAAAGTCATTCAAAGCACAATCTTTACCCCTCTCCCTTTTTTCTCTGTTATACACTATATACGGACTATAATCCAGATCTCCATTGTTCTTCTTCCGTGCAATAAAAAATTAACTCGTTGTTATATATACTTTGCCACTTCTATTAGTCGACAGCCCTAAACCATGGCCAGCCGCCGCTTGACTCCTCACAATTCCGTCGTTTCTATGATCTTCCTTGATTCATTTGAACTGTTCATCTTAATATCGCCCTCCTTATAATGATGGTAACTTGCTTTTGTAATTACTAAATGTAACATCTCAAGACCTCACCCCCTGAGGTCCACGGCCGGACAACAACTGCCGTCCATGCCTCCATCTTCACTTATTCATCTTTTATTTCATCTAGCCTCTTTAAGTCACGCCTCCGTCGTTTCTTTCATTTGTCTATCGGTCGTCTGCTGTGTAAATATAGTAACTCGCTTTCACAGTTAAAAAACACCTCCGCCCTCAAGTTTTTTTTCTTACACCTAGTCAACTTGAACTCACACGTCCATCGGTCATCTTCCGTGCAAAGACAGTGAGCAGCTCGCTGATATAGTTACTAACACCGTACGTCAAGGGGTCGACGGCCCGATAACAACTGCCCTCCATACCTCCATCCTCACATACTCTTTCATCGATGCCTAAAGCATCCCCCTCTTGCCTTTTGCCAGCAAAAGGCAATACTGGTGTTTGTAATAAATACATTGGTTTAAAAACCTACATTAAATATCTTAATATTAAAATGCATCAGTTTTAATTCACGTGCCCTACGATACATCCAAAATGGTTAAGTGTATGTATTTTAACTGGTACAATCAACAACATATTTTCTGAATTTTTTTAGAAAGACTTTGAATGTCCAAATAAATTGTAACACTATGCGTCAACGGATTAACATTATGTTGAATAAAATACTTACAAAACGATTTTGTTAGAGAGAACTATTTATAGAGCCCATGAAAAATTAAATTAAATACAATAATTTAGCACGCTGTTGTTGACTGTGTAAATTATGGCATTTTACTCCTCCTCGGCCTTTCTCTTGCTGCTCTTGCCCTTCCCTTTGCCTTTCCCGCCGCTGGCCAATACTTGTTGCAGCACCAGATCTTCCATTATTAACTCTTGCAGTTTCTGCTCGTTCCAGTCGTCCCAGACTTCAACGTCCCCGTAGTTAACCTCGGTGCTGGCTGTAGCCCCAAGTCCACTTCCTGACAGAGCAGCGGCGATGGCACCTTTGGAGAGCACGGACTCCGAACTTAAAGAAGGGTTGAGCTCAGCGACTGGCAGCAGATCTGAGGGTTCGGCGGTCTCTCCGTCTGGCTCGGGGAACTTGGTGTTGATGTCCAAGATCTTAACCGGCTTCCTCTTTTTCTCTTTCTTCTCCTTCTTTGGCTTCGGGACATAGGTCTTCCCCTTTTTCTCCATCTTGGCCTTTTTCTTCTCCTCTTCCTTTCTTTCTTTCTCCTCTTTCTTCCTTTCCTTCTCCATTTCCTTTTCTTCTTTCTTTCGCTGTTTCTCCTTTTGTTTCTCTACCTTTCTTTGGACGAGAACTCTGTCCACTAACTCCCCTCTAACTTTCCCATCCATTGGGCAGTCATCCGGAGGACAACATTTGTCGAACAGGTTTACAGGTCTTGGTTCCGGCCCAGGATTGGCTGGGGTGGGATAGACGCCAGGGTCTGGCTGAAATAGATGATTTTCATATTAGTTTACTTCGAAGAAATACCTAAATTTTAATTGTGAATTAATGATCAAATTCTAATAAAAATCCAAAAACTAACCTGCAGAAAGCAGCAACAGAAAACGGCAAGGAATGCCTGCCATCTTGAGACCTCCTTGGGTATCTCTTCCACCCTTTCTTCATCCTGCTTTGTCTCATATCTTTCTTGTGCCTCTCTCAGTCTTGCTTTAGTCTTCTCCAGACTATTCTCCTCTTCCACAGAGGAAGTCGATTCGGCCCTTTCAACGAAATAAAAACGAAGGTAATTAGGATTTAGATAAAAAACTAATTAAATTAAATGTATTTTACATTATGATCACATATTTAAAAAAAGGTCAATTAAAGCAAAACTGAAAAAATGGTGAACGCAAATGAAAACTGTTTAATAACCTAACTATTTCAAATTTTAACTGAAATATTAAGGAAAAAAGCCAAACAAGCAAATGATGTACTGGTTCGGCAACATACCGCTCTGGTGTGGGGGTCCGCTCACTGGCAGGACTCCCTGCACTGCTCTTATTCGAGTTATTTGTCTATATAATATAAACATGTGGAAAAACTTTAGATGGAAAATAAAATATGTCTTCAAAATTGTTATCGGACATTATTCTTTCTGCAGAATTATAGTATTTTGTTCAAACGTTTGCTTTCAACAGACTTTCATTATTTAGTTGTTTTTACTAACAAATGTTACTTGAAAAAGGTTACTTGATGAAGAAAAAGAGTAAAGATGAGTTTATTTAGGCCACAGATATACATAAAATACACTGAGCATAAAAATAAGAAAGTAAAACCGAAATTATATAACGTACCTGATTCGGACCCTTTGGTACCTCAGATTCCAGCTCTTCAGCTCGAGCGGAAGGAGCAATCCTTCTGCTCCGACGGCGTATGCGAAATGCGCTTGCAGCTCGAGACGCAACATTTCGAACACGTTTACGGGCGCGACTCAATCTACCTTCGTTGTCTTCGGATTCTTCCATTAAATCAAAATTACTTGATAAAAGCTCACAGCTTCATAAATTACGAACATCGCCATTGGCTTTGATATTGTAACTAACGTTACGGGGCTGATGCCGTTACGTGGTTGCCACTTATGACGTCATAGAAAGCGAAACGGAAGGGCAACAAAGGAGTAACGTTTGTTGGATTGCCCATTTCGTTTTTTAAAACAACTACCTATTTTTAAAGAATGATGCCAAATTATTTTAAAATGATTTTTATTTATTTATTTATTTATTTATTTATTTTGTCAGTTATTTGTTTAACAAGCAATCTCTGGTTTAATTTCCTAACTACCATAGATAATTATTTGTTATAATTTTTGTTTTTTATCCAATTCCTACCAAATATTTGAAGAACTTGTGCAAATTGGGTCATTTTATGCTACTGTTGCTTATTATTAATTTTTTACAGTGCTATATTGTTATCAGTTATTAAGAGGTACTACGAAAATGACTGTATCATAAAGTTAAAGGCCCGATGCGTGTCAGTTGCTTTATTTGCAAACCTTCATTTGTACCTTCTCATAAGACTGTCATTAAGCTACAAGCGGCACGAAAGCTAACCGCGGCGTTTTTTTTTTTTTTTTTTTTTTTTTTTTTTTTTTTTTTTTTTTTTTTTTTGATTGCCGAATTCTGCGTGGTACCCTAGAAGGGCTTGTGACATACTACATGTAGTTAATACGCCGACTTAATATTTGTGTAGTGGTGGTGAACTTGAGTCATACGCCTCTGAAAAAATAACCACACCAGTAAATTAAATATTAAACACCATTATAACATGAGGAAGGAATTTAATTTAGATAATTTTATTCAGTGCATATGTATAAAACAGATAACAACAGAAATTAACATTTCAAAAAATATATTGACTGTTTAAAATAAACACAAAAAATATGTAACGCTTGATAATAAACAACAGTTACATTTTAACAATGTTCTTCGTATTAATTTATTTTCTAAATGCTCGATTGTCCAAGCTTTAAATAGAAAATGCGTGTCTTTACTTTCCGTTGGTCAAGTTCTTAGTAACGTTCTCAATGCCTGCTATCCATTAATGAGGAGAAGATGAAAAGTCATTTTATAGCTATGAACATGTCAAAGATGAATATACATATTTATAAGTTAATCGTGTGCGTAGTAATTTGATTTTTCCTAACAGCTTGAACACCTTTATAATACCGTCCAAATTTATCTAATCAACGTTTGGTATGTTTATATTTCTGTTTCCCATCCACTGGGCAGTCATCCGTATTTTCAGTAAACTTTGAGGCATACCACGCTAGATCAGATCAGCAGGCTATTACTGCATCACTAACGTCTCCGAGTTTTTCCTTTTCCTCTCTGAGTCGACACATGCGAAATACCACACAGCTAAACCCAATAGACTATCTCACCACTCGGTAGCTCATCCATGATTTCCTCTCTGGAATAAGAATATGACACTGGAGAAATAGAATATATGCGTAATTAAATGTAGCTATATTGTTTTACCATTTGAGACTGACAATTCTATTTTATAAAGTTTAACCATCAATTATATTTATCATGTTGGATACTGTAAGGGCATGTTTCGCTGCCAAGAAGAAAAAGAAAATAAAATCCGCTAGGATAACATTTCGTCTATCATCTTAACTTCACCGACAGTGATTTTCGGACAGTGACTCTGAAGCATATTTCATTTCATTAAATGAACGAAACATCTGCAGACTCCGCTCATTAAATGATCAACATATGCCAATACTCACTGTGAAGGAACAATTTCAACTCACCTTGGACGCAATAGGTCAGCCAAATGCGTTTGTCCACTGCTCTCTAGATGTTTGTGGAATATGTAAAAAGCTCTGTCTTCTTTGTTTTTCAAAATGTCCAAAAACTCCTCAACCCGCTCTTGCTGTGTGGCAATTTTCATTATATTCTCCTTTTCTCTGGCTTGTGCTGTAAGACTATTCAGTACCTCCAGAAGGCACTGTTCAGTAACCGACTGAACCAACGTCACCCTGTTTCGCCGCAGTCGGTCTTTGTTTTCTTTCAGCACACCGTCTCTCCCTTTAAGAAAATGAAATAAGGAAATTAAAAGAAATACACAAGTATACCCTATACGCACTTGGCTACATCTCTGCGGGGACTCGCTTTAAGTGCAATCAGTTTAGCTGAATTAGGCCCCTCCTGTTGTTTCCAGTGAGCTCGTATAATCTCCATCTTTTCTGTATTCTACTTTACGCCAAGGAGGGGGAGTGGAGTGTCATTCAGTTAAGCTGATTGCACTCAGTGACTGTCCCTACAGATTTGGATCGATCTACGTGGACCGATGGTGTCAATGGGAATGGGGTCTTAGTTAAATGCTAAATAATACTTGAACTGTAAAAATTAAGGGATTTCCTACTTATAGCCAAAAGTCTCATCTCTGTATTAAACTTGACTCCTCACGGCGATGATCGATTGTGATTAAATATGCAGTCACATTTTAAGGACACTGGTGATGTTGGTAGTCACATTGTTCCAAAACCATGACTTTAAAACAATACATTGAAAAGAGACCCCTTTTCAGTTGTAAACAAGATAGATTTGAGTACTGTACCTGCCAGAGCTGGGTACACGTGCGTTGCGCTGATAGTTTGAGGGGGCGCATTTCTGCATGGTAAGACCTTCACGCGTGGAACGTAGTCTGGTTGGTCCAAGATGTCTCCAGGAAAAAGGGTGGGGGAGGGGATGCCTTCTTCAATGCAGTGTGGACACAGCAGGTGCTTGCTGTAGAAAACACCCGGCCAGTCATTTTTCAAAATGTCGACGAGGTCTTGATGGAGCTTGAGCAGGATGTCCCACATGGCGAGTCGATCTTTCCCTCTGACATTTGTCGTGATTACCCAGTCTCGCTCTTCGCTGTGACGCGTAAGGAGAATTTTACAACGGCTGGTGACTGCATAGACACCATTATTCCAGTCGATGCGTCTTCTGTCGAACATATGAAGATACTTGTGGATTCTGACTGAGAGCTTTTCGAACACGTCGCTTGGACATCGGTGGGGTGTGTGAATCTGGAGGGTCAACTGTAGTAGTACCCCCCTTGGCAATCTGGCCGGCCACTTGCCCGAACTCTCTAAGTCACATGGTTCATTCTGTTGTAGTAAACATGGGAAATGGAATGCGCCGGTTCTTTTTGCTACAGATGCATCATCCACAAAATAGCTCAGGTCAAGCTTTGTCATAAGCTCAATCATGGCATCCCTTTCAATGCCAGGAACCCCAAAGGACTGCCAGAGAAACTCCATGACATCCTCGTCAATAATACCCCTCATCTCAAGGTTGTCTACTATCTCTTCAAATTTCTGTTTGGTGTAATTTTCCTTCAGAGCCTTCTTTTTAACCTCAAAATCATGGTGTAGGACGGATTTGAGGAGATTGATTAAGACTTCCGGCTTGTGGAATATGACTTTTCCGAGAGCTGTATTGGAATCAAACCACACTACTTCACCAGTATTTGACATATAATTAAGGACATCTTGCACCACATATGTCACTTGTGCTGGAGAAATATCTTCGTCGTCTTCGTGAGGGGTTTGGGGACCACTTGCCACTTGATTTATTTCCTCGGCTTCTTCATGGAAGAGACTTGTGCAGCACATCATTCTTCTTACGATTCGCGAAATCTGGTTTCTGTTTTCTTCCTCTATGGAAACGTCTGCCTGGCGTGCACTTTTCTTTTTTCTACGTGCAACCTCAACTTTTACAATTTCTCTGACAACCCCCTCTGTCAGAGTGTTGGTTGTAGGTTCAAACTTCATCCTCTCTATTTCATTCATCACATCCACCCAGGCCTCAGGGAGGAAGACTCCTCTCAGCTTGGCTAACTGAACCAGGTACGCCGAGAGGTTCTCCATTCCAAACATATCGGCTGAGCTGATCGTGAAGATGTTCACATGGGAATTGGAAAAATATGAAACCCTTCTCCCTTGAAATGCGTGTGCGTCAACTCTGTTTCGTAACCATTCCATGTTCCAATCTGCTTGTTGTTTGAAACGATGGCGGACATCTTGACACAGCATGTCAGGATCTCTATCACCAACCAGGTCGTGGTGAGTTCCTACAATTATGATGTAGATACCAGGTGCTCTGCACTGGACTGTTTGTATCCATTCTCCAATATGTTTCATATAGTAGTTGTCCTCGCACTGATACTGAGACAGGTTGAAAGTGATGATGGCAACTCCATTTTTATGAAGAAATATAGGATAGCCCACTCTGTATACATCGTGACCCCCAAAGTCGTTGATATTGAAAGCAACCTTACTGTCCGGTTCCCATGACCCTCGCTCAATCACCTGGGTCCTGTCTGCTTCGGCTGTCAGCGACGATTCTCCCCTTTGTAGAGACCTGGATAAGCTACTTTTGCCACTCCCTGTCACCCCAAGTAAGTTCAATTGCAGCCTGTTCACCACAATGGCCTTGCGTTCCCTCACCTCTCTCAGATAGCGAAAAATGGCGCCTTTCCCATTCTGACATACCGCCTCTGGTGGCTGTGTTAATGGATTTGGTATGACGTAGAGTTCTGTTAGGGCTTTCAGATGCAGGAGCTGATACGGTAGGCAGCTCACCCTGTTATGTCGTATATCGAATATTTTCAGTGTCTGCAGGTTTGCAATATCAGGGGGAATTGACGAAATGTTGTTGCCTGCTATGTGCAGTGTCTCCAGTTTTTCACAATGGCATAATTCGACTGGAAATTCAATTAGTTTGTTGCTGGAGATTTTAAGAGTTTTCAGTTCATCTATTTCCTTTATCTCAAATGGTATACGGTCTATTTTATTCTGACCAATATCCAGATTCTCCAAACTAAACAGGCTGCATAAACTGGTTGGAAAAGCTGAAATCTGGTTATGAGAGATATTAAGGGTTTGCAGTCTGGTCAAACGTCTTATACTTTTGGGAATGGTGCACAAATGATTTGCCCTCATGTCAAGATATTCTAACTCATAAAGATCACACAATGCACCTGGAAGTACATCAATCATGTTTTTCTGTATATGCAGCGTTTTAAGACTGTCCATTTTGCTAACAGATGAAGGGATGATGCGGATCTTGTTACCGCTGATATCGAATATTTGCAAGGCGGGAATGTCACAAACGTGAGTTGGAAATTCCTCGAAACGGTTATCATTGACCTTAAGAATCGTCAAGTTTGTCAGCGTGTTGATGTCAATAGGAATAGTACTAAGCAAGTTGTGACCGATGTTAAGCTCTTGTAAACTAGGCACATTAAACACCTGGAGAGGGAATTCTGTAAATTTGTTGCTGGATATGTCCAATACTTTGAGATTCCAAAATGTAGACAGGGGTATTTTCAAGACTTCTAAGTTTGTCTTAGACAGCTTAAGGCATTGAAGATTACTAGATTCACTGATGTTGGATGGCATTAAAAAATCCAAATCCAGCTCTATGGGCCTGGAAATATCTTTTGAGTTGTTACGATCTTTTGGCTCCTCCATTTTTGCAATATATGTCGTCGTCGTCCATATATTTCTCGTCTTTTTAGATATCCAGATTTTATGCAGATCGCCGACTCGTCATGACAACAGTCGAAATGATGCCTTATTTATGCTCGCTGTTTTTGATATTTTTAATCAACCCCAGTAAAAATGACCAGTAGAAATGTCAGGATCTCATGTGGCAACATCTTTGATAAAACGCGACGAACGCGTTTAATTTGGGCATAATCATCATCTCTTGTCAGAACGCTTGTGGCTCATTTTGGGGAGTGTGATTTTTGTGGTAACACTCGGTGTGAACTTTTCAAGACGACACGCATGCACCACGTCCATGAAACCCTGTTCTGGGTGGATGATTACCTTGAAAAATGAAATACTGAAGTTAACTGATGCTTTGTAAATATATTGTAAACAGTTAATCAATATCATGTTTATTCAAAGCATTCGGCCAGTAAAAAATTTATCAATTTTCAATTTTTCGAGGATTTTGTCAGCTCTTTTGCAACTTAGTCATAGTAACAGAATGTTTTTATCAATGATTGAACAAGTTAATTTCAGAGTATTGCATATTTCAGGTAGACGTGACAGTACTAGTCACGTTGTTAGACTAACTTTTTATGTTACTAGGAAATATTGTTTAGATTTCTTTTCAAAGTCCAAATTATCTTAAAGGTACATACGAACCGAGCATCGGTGGAGCGTGGATTCCCAGTAACACATGTAAACCACTTCTACTAGATTCTTATATGACTCAAATAAATTCGACATGCCAAGGGATAAACTGAATAGATCACTCGATCAGCCATAAAAGACCTTTAGACTGATCCTTTCTTTAATTTTTTGGTTGTAAATTTAACCTACTTTTGTGACGTACTTTCCTCCCCATTGACATGCAGCTTAGAATTCCAGCAGAAAAATCTGTTCAAACATCATTTTCGGGTAAAATTAAACAATGCCTTTTGGTAATTCTCTTAGTTATACTACTTGAAGCTATATGCTGGCATTTGGTTGGTTTTTTGTGACAAAAAAATTGACTTTTTATGCATCTTTAATTCATAAATATTCAATTACCTTTCGAATTAAAAAAAATTAAATTATCACACTACCCTGCAACATTTTTTTTTTATTTGAGCTCCTGCATTATATTTTATTTGAGCTCCTTTCGTAGCGTTAACGCTTTTCCCGTTGATTTTCCAGCGTTTTTCGTAATGTCGCCCTTTTCTCCACGAGCGATAAAACAGACTACACCTAAATAAATTACCTTTCTTTTAAATACAACTATAGGCCTAGTGCTCAATTCACACTTTAGACTCTACACTATATTATATTCGTTTAAGAACTTACTTCACAACTTAACCGCCCCGTGTTATAGGCTAAGAGAACGCCAAGAGTAGAGATAAAAACCACCCCCAGCTGAGCAGGTATTTTATCATAATACATTGCAACTCGTTAATATACATTGTTTAAATAGGGTGAAAATGTGTACAGAGGGGTCACTTCACACCAGGGTTTGATACATGTGCAGCAATGCTTAATTTATTTGTTTAACAGATAACCTATTTAAACTGCGATGCTCGATGCAGAAAAGACTACTGTTGTGAAGTCACGTACTACCGTACCGCAATAGATAGCGGCTATTGCATGACCTAACACAAGGGCAGCAAAGCAGTACATGCCAGATTTTAATTATTTTAAAAGCAATATTTTCACATTCACTTGTTATAAATATAATGAAGAACGCAAAACCATAGTCAAATTGCAACCGGGGTTTACAAATTGGAATACTGAGAACATGGGAGTTGCTATCGCACATACACGTGTGTGTTAATGGGACAAATTATAATTGACTCTCCCTGTACTTACCTTCGACACTATCTCCTTTTCCGACTATTTATAATTAGGAATCCAGTCTTCTCTTACTGCATATTCTTAGTGTGCCTAAAACTGACTTCTTGTGTGGAGTTTCAACTGCAAGCAGGGAGTGAGGCTTTCGATCGAGATTTGGACTACCACTTGCTCGAGGTTCGCCTAGATTTTGCGGGGTGCACGAAAGATAACCAGATTTTCATGTACACAATATACTTGAGTTTCTTTTGTCATTGTACAAAACCCAGAACGGATCTCAATCAAAGTATTTCGGCGGATGATAATTAAGTAAAGTTTGTCGAAACCAGGGATGTTTACCATAGGCATATTGTAGTCTGTATATAATTTCTCTCACTGAAAACTCTAATGCCGACAAAGTTAATAATAATAATAATAATAATAATAATAATAATAATAATAATAATAACGCCACCTACTTTAATCTACACTTTACCTTTCTGATAATAATAATAATAATAATAATAATGAATCAAGGAACAATTAAAGGATTGCAAATATGTGTCTCTGCACCTTACCCCGTGAATGTGTCGCGGAACCTGTGCATCCTTGGAGATATCGTGGTCTGGCAACCGTAGATAACGCAGAGAGAACAGGCCCGTAGCCAGCAATTTCAGAGGGGGGGGGGGGGGTTCGTTTTCTGAAAAAGTGGACCTTTTACCATAAAATCATCAAGTACATAGATCAAATTTTACCCAGAGTGGACCTTTTCCCAGCAAAAAGGGTGGTTCTTTCGAACCCCCCGAACCCCCCTTGGCTACGGGCCTGGAGAAGTTGGGGTGGGGGTGGGGGGCGATTACCCATAAAACTTGGCGTGGATAGTTTCAACCAAATAAAATAATTAAGGAAACAGAATAAAAGATAAGACTTTAACTCTCACTGACAGAGTCTGGATACCAAGAAGAATTTGGGAACAAGTACAGTGTAAGTTCATCATCCATATCCAAAACCCTGATAATCAGTGAAAAATAAGAACTGATAATAGGCCTATCTGGGTCTCAGAACATGCCCCAACCCAACGACCTTCATTGAGATGGTACATATAAAGTGGGGTACGGGAAAATTTTAAAAAGTGGGACTCCCAACCCCATTAACTACTACATGTATGGTTCAGATTCCACCTACTGCCTTCATTTGTTCATTTTCATTTCACCAAGCCACACATCAGATATTCTAGTATATTATCTTACTACACGTACGCGGTGCTGTGTCATTCGATTATGAAGACTCTCAAAATAAGAGGGGTCATATTTGAACAAGGCAGATCAGACCCGTAGCCAGCAAATTCAAAAGGGGGGTTCTTTTTCTGAAAAAGTGGACCGTTTACAATGAAACTTGTGTGTACCTAGGTCAAATTTTACCCAAAGGACCTTTTCCTGACAAAAGGGGCGGTTCTTTCGACCCCCCCCCCCCCCCTCGGTTACCGGCCTGCAGATACATATTTTCAGGCGATGTTCTGAAGCTCGTAAACAGGTGTTGCGCTCACACGTGGTTGACTTCATTGCGTTATTGTGTTAGATGCGAACGTGTGCAATAAAAGTCCTTCATGAATTAGATCATGATTTTTTTAAAGCTGGAACGATGTTGAACAATGTTGCTGTTGAGATGTATAGCAAACTGTAGATGTACTTTTTCACACAGCTTGGAACTGATTTCTCGTTTATACTAAGAACAGTCATATTTCATTTTCAACAACATACAATTTTTCTGCATTTCAATTGTATATTAGCTTTTGCATGTATAAAAGCAACATATACTAGTTGATAAATAGTACAACAAATACACTGTAATTATTATAATAAGCCGAATCAATTTATTTATCATGGAATATAAAGATTTAATCAAATATCTTTCCAGAAATTTCTTGTGGGAAAATCCATAAATAACAAATCATTTTTATTTATTTATTTTTTTTTCTTTTTTGAGGGGTATAAGTCAGGGTATTAATTAAAACTGAAACTTCAAATATTTCGTAAAAAAAAAATTCATTAACAGAGTCACAAGAAGATCACACATACACTGGTATTTGCAGTATTGATTCTTTTTTATCACTTAAGTCCTATTTCCAAGCTTAAAACTCGCTTTCAAAGTTTGTAATAAGGCATTTTGTTCTAAAAAGTCTGAATAAATATGAATCCGTATTTAACAGTGTATATGAATTAAATTTAAAATCTTAATACACTGAGCAAAAATGATTTGTCTCTTAAACTGTTTTTTTTTACATTAAGCCCACCTACATGTACTAGTATATATTAATTTATTTTTTTTTTGGAAAAATCACTTCTCTAAGTGACTCAATTCAGTCTGCAGTGAACCAGCATATACCATAAAATATAATATAATACTTAAGTACAGTAATAAAGTCCTGAAATAACTGTATTATCTGGCCCAAGATAAATAGAAAATAATAAAGCAAACATCACTTGTTTACAGTCATTGACAAAAATTAGATCTTTAATCTATAAAATAAATTACTGCCCAGAAGTATGCTATCTGGTACACAAGTATGTACTGTAGAATAAAGCTATCCTGCCACTGATAATAATGTCTTTTTAATATAATCTTTCACAACATTTAATCACTGGTATTATTAATTGTAACAATAACAATGAAATAAACAATCAAATGAAAGAATGAATCCATCTGGCAATCAACCAATAAATATCTCTCAAAAACATAATATATATATCTCTTATAATCAGCAAAATGTAAGTGTTCAGGTCCAGTGTTTTGAATCTCATTTTGTCATCAGAGTTACAGGTAGATGCAAAACCAAAGTTCAGCAGGCAATATGTGACCTCGCTACAGTTCATCCTTCACAGCGGGACCAGCAGGCGTCTGTAACCTGCCCATAAACAACACGGCGCCCGATTTATTATCACGGATGAAAAACAAAAATGGGTGATCAGCAACAAAGGTTATGTTCCTTGGCCTTGCACTTCGCAACATGACTACTGCTGCTGTTGCTGCCGCCGCCTCTGTTCCTTCCTCATTGACATCAATGAAAGCCTTATGATGCACCTGGGATAAAAACAACATTCTGGTACCATCCATTCCAGATAAATCAGCCACGCCTTCTGTGAACAAATCTGGCATTCCCATCTGGCCCAGCTTTTCGTGGAGGCGATACTCTTCTGTGAGCTTAAACTTGGGCAATTTTACCATTAATGTTTCTGGAAAAAGATCTCTGGCGGTGGTCTCTAGCAGGCTCGAAGTCATCTTGGATTCCAAGTCTTTCAGACCATCGATCTTGTCTGGGAGATAAATCAGCATGCTCAAGTCCTTTCCGACATATGGAATCTCCAGGATTTGACACTCTAGTTCCTCGCTATATCCAAGTGGAAATTTACTTTTTTGGTACATCATGTCAACTTGTATCTTATTTGTTGAGGTCAGCTGGAATGGTGCTTTCTGAGTTTGCTTTGGATCAAATTGACTGGCCCAGTTTCCCTTGAAATAAACTGCATCGACAAGCACCATGGCAACCAAAGAATTTATAGTNCTGGTTAGTAGTGATGATCGAGTGATGGCCTAAATTGGTACATGAATTTTCTTACACTTTTTAAATACAGGTACGGTACTACTTGTAACTACTAGTGGGACCCATGAATCTACCCCGTTAACATGCACAGGTTCGTGCACATGTGCTGGTGAAAGACGCACATTGCACCAGTATTTTGATGATTACGATTACGTACTACATGTAGTATATAGTAAATGCACGATGAGTGACAGAGACCATTCGGTTGTTTAATTCACATTCCAAGTGATTTAAATTTGCCATGCCACATGCTAAAATGTACTCTCACCCACTAACTTGACGGCAACCATAATA